CCCCGTGTCCGATGAGGAGCCAGCCAGGAATCCTGCCCAGCCGGAGCACGGCTGGCATCACCCTCCGGCGCTTTGCCCCACTGCGAGGTGTGCTGGGAGCTCACTGCTCCCCGCGCCCACTCCCCCGGAGCTGGCTGCCAGCACCCTGGATTCACCGAGCCCCGGCGTGGGCTGGTGCCGGGAAATCACTCCCTCCTGTCACCATTTCACCTGCTCCCTCCCAGCTGGGGCGGCGTTAACACTCTCGCACCCTCAGCTGCAGCCGAGAGCGGCTATAAAGCAGCCCACCCCCCTGCCCTCCTGCCTGCTGCTGCTCTGGCACAGCCAGGTTGCACCCGGTGCTGCTCCGGCACACGCCGCAGGGCGATGTGGGTGGGGGGTGGCACCCGCGCACTGTGCCGGTGACTGTGGGGGTCCTCGGGCTTTGCTCGGGGATGTGCCCCAGCTGTGGGTTGGGGTTTGCAAGAGCTGGAAAGCCGTGACCTTCCCGGGCTGTGGAAGGGCAGGGGGAGCCCGGAGGGTTGTCCTCCTGCTCTCAATAAGCTTCAGTTTTGGGGAAGGGGAAGAAAAGCAGCATTGAGTGAAAGTTTCATTCTTCAGTTATTGCATTTATTCCTTTCTCTTGCTCCTTACCTTTATGAAAAAGCAAGAGAAGGTTTAGAGGGCTTTTCTTTGATGTTTACCCCAAGAAAAAGGACCAGCTCCTCTCCCCCGTGGCTCTCCTGGGAGGTCCGCAGGAGCCCCCCCACCCCTGTGCTGCTGTTCGGAGCCCTGAAGCGTGTCCGCTCGATCGGCCGCGGAGGATGCCGTGTCCCTGCCCACCCCCAGCTACTAATGACTGTGAAATAGCCCAGCTGGTGCAGGGAGAACAGCGCCTGCTCCAGGCTGGCGAAGCCGGCGTTGTACCCAGGTTAAAGGCTCCCAGAGCAGCCCCTGAGCCTGGTGCAGCCCCCTGTGCTACTGAACGGGGGTGACGGGGGGTGAAAGCCCCACATTGCGGGGAAAGGTGCCTCCGGTGCGGCTGCAGGCGGACTCTGTGGCTCCTACCTGCAGTGTCCGGCTCTCCCAGGCGCCGCCTTTCCTGCTCCTGCCACGCGTCCCCGGGGCTACCGTCCCCAAAAGGGGCCACAGCTTCGGTTGGCGGCTCCCCTTCCTCCGTGGCAGCCCCGCCACCGGGTGACCATCGTCTTTGTTGCACACTGGAGGGCGGGAGCCACGCACCCGCGGGACGTTGGGGGACCTTGACCCCCAGCTGCTTCGCTGCGGAGGGCAGTGGTGATTGCGGAGCGGGTGAGTCACTGCTGTGGGGACAGCCAGCGCCCGTGGGTCTGGCAGCGGTGTGGACGCAGGCACGAGGCTGGTGTTGCCAGTGAGTGCTGTGGAGGGCAGGTTTCTCCGTGCATGCGTGTCTGGCCCTGTGGCTGGTGGCCGGCAGCGTGCCAGCAAGGAGGGCAGCGGCCGCACCGCTTGGCTCCTCTGTGCCCAGAGAGCAGCTCTGGTCCAGGGTGCCCTAAAGGGGTGGATTTAGTTGGTTTGGGAGTGGTAACGCCGCTGCGTTGGCATATCCTCTGCCTGCACTGAGGACATGGTTCCCGTCCCTGGCTGTTCCCCACCACCCTCCTGGCAGGGACCGCTTGTGCCAGCCGAGGAGCAGCGGGAGCATCCCTGAGCCGGGCACTGGTGCCGACCCAGCTCGCTCACCAGCTGGCATAGCTGTAACTTCAGGGCACCGGTTTTTGGGAGGAGCAGGTGAATGATGCCATGGCCGGGAGAGGCCGGGCTGAGCAGCACCGTGGGCTGGCCGGGCGCGTGGTGTCCTGAGGTGGTCCTGGGGTGCTGGCGGAGCGGGGACGTGGCATGATGGAGGCCAGCTGGCTTTCTGTGCTCCGCTTCCTTCTTTGGAGGTTTCTTTGAAATGTCAGCGCTGCCTTCCCTCCCTCCCATTATCATAACAGTCCCGATGTATTTGCATTCGCTTTCCAAGTGCCCAGGCAGAGGGTGGGTCACCCCAAATCCTGCTCCCCTTCTTAACCTGCTGGGGTGCAAAGGGCTCCCCAGACTTTCGGGGGTGCTGAAGCCCCGTTGCTGGATGCCCTGCAGGGTCCCGTCCCCCCCCCGCCGCTGCTGGGTTGTTTGGTGCTCAGTGCTCCTGCCCATCCTGCTCCCCAGGATTTTCTCCTGGTGCGACCTGGGGAAGGGATGGTGGTGCGGGGCGGGGAGCGGGGACGGTTTGGGGACAGAAGCAGGGGGAAGGGATGCAGCCGGTGAATCCAGGGCAGCGACAGAGCTCATCGCGGCGCAGCTGCCTCGCTCGCCGCGACACCCCCCCTTCCTGGGCAGCAGCCCCCCGCGCACCGCTGCCCTGCCAGGGTGGGGGGGCCCGGAGCCCCCCGTCTTGCCCCCCTCGCCCTTCGCCTGCCGCCAGTGGCTCCCCGGCCCCGGCTCCCCGGCACTGCACCTGGGCTGGGGGAGGCGGCGTGTGCAGCGCTGCCCTTCGCCTCTCCTCTGTGCGGGGACGCGAGCGGGAGCTGTTTGTCCCCGTCGCCTGCCGGCTGGCTGCTGCACACCGGGGCTCGCCCGCCCCCGCCGGCCCCGGGGCGGCCGGGGCCCCCCAA